GCCGTCGGAAAGGAGCTTCGTGCTCACAACTTTTTGAGCCGCACTCGGAGAACACCGGGTTGTTCCCGTCGCGTTGGGGGAGCCCAGCCAATCATCGCCGCAACGTGCCGCGGGCATGGGAGACTCCACTCTATCCCACAAAAATCTCGCTCGAGGATCATGACTCGCGTGTCAGTTATTGGTAAGGTACATGTATCATCGACTGACATGGTGCGCATGGGCTATACTTCATGGAATAAGATGGCATATTTACCTGCACGTCACAAGCCGCACAAAGTTACATCGCGCGCTCCGCTTGCTCCTTGCTAAGTACAACCCGCGCGGCTTCAGGGTGAGACTCCGGCCTGGGGTGCCATTGGCGGTCGGTCGAACGCGAGCTCGAGAGCATACACCCTACAGCGTTACAGACGGTACTCAGTCTGCCACTTTGAATCGCTCGTTGACCCCAGAGCTGTTTCATACTTGTCCTTATACGCTCTGACATCTTCCCTCGATCCCGAATGGCCATGCGTCCGGCACGATGGTGAGTTGCCCAGACGCCGGGCAAAGGACGATCGAGACCCGCGATCTCTGCCGTTAACACGTATTGCCATGCCAGCTATGGCCCGCCGGACGACATCTCGTCGTGGTTCAGTCGTCGGCTCACACTCTGGAGTCTGGAGCGGAGCCATCTTCCAGGCGCGCCTCGAGCTCAGCCAGATGTCGGAGTCGGGCCATCGTGTGCGGATTTGGCAAGGGCAGCCTGAGCTGCCCGGTCACAGCAGGTGACTCAATCCGGGATGACGATCACAAAAGTCTGTAGAGAGCTGGACCACAGTCCGTCGGCCCAGTCATTGTCCGCGAGTGGCACACGAGCGACCGTGGGCTTGCCTGATTCTCTCGACTTCGACCCTTTCTCTTGCTCCTACAACAGTAGTCAGCACTGCTATACGCCCAACGGTGGAGTACGCACCTCCTGAGCGGCCTTGTATGCACGTAGAGCATTAGTCGGTTCGCTAGTCCACACAAGCGTCGAGTTTGGCAGTCTGATACTCGCTCGCAGACTTCGGATCTTTAATTCCTTGAGGCTGCTAGCCTGTCTGAGTAGATCGCGGAGGCTGGTCAAATAGCATTCAGCGAACTCTTCGATGGTCACAGCCTTGGGCCGTGGCGTCGTTTCCCAGTCCGCAATGAAGCCACCTTCGCGTGTGAAGCTGTGCTGAGTGTCGATGTCGAGTCAGGTGATCATCCTACGGTGACATGACCGCAGGCGTCGTAGCCGGCTTTCTAGCAGCTTCAGACTTTGTGCTCGGAAGGTAGCACGGCAGTAGAACACGGATATGGCTTCGACATAGATCCGTTTGCAGGCTAGCAGGATGTTCGGCGACTTGCAGAATTTGCCGAAAGTCCATTCGGCGATGTAATCTTCAAAGAGTGTTTCGAAAATCAGGTTGCGGAGCTCGGGAGGTAAGTCTAGGAGAGTAGATCCCGTCTGGAGTGCGCAGACTCCTAACGTTCGCATGTCTGTTGGGGCTGCCGCACGCTGGCGTAACGGCGTAGCTCTCGCTAGCAATATTTCCACGGTCGAGTCGTCAACATCAGAGCCATGGTCACTTCCGACGTCGTCGTCTAACTCCGAGCCGTAGTCGCTGTCATGTTCTATCTCCTGGTAGGAGTGCGCCTTGTCGCAAATGCTCAAGATCCTGCTAAGCGCCCTGTCGTCCGGCTCGGAGCCATAACAATCATCGTCCGCAGCGGGACCGGATGGCATGATGTGATGCGGAGTATCGAGGTTGGTCCAGGGAAATGAGGGTCATTGAAGGGGAGATCGTCGTATGGATGGATGTAGTGTCTGTCCTACACGGATCACGCGCCAAGCTTCGTGTCGCCTACCGTGAATCACAGCTTGTCCAGACTGCAGCGAATATATTAGACTATTTCTCCTCCACTTACCACAGCCGCGTTGGTGGTTTAGTGGTAAAATTAGCCGTTGCCATAAGATCATTGAGTCATGTGAGCCGATGTCGGCTAGCCCCGGGTTCGATTCCCGGCCGACGCAATTATCTTTTTGGCCATCTACCCGGTTCCCTTACGTCTTAAGTAGTTACCATCCCTTTTGGACATCAAGAATAAGGTCGCACTTTACTCTCTTACACTCTACCTTACACTCTACTCTCTTACCTCCTACTCTACTCCTCTCTACTCTACTCCCCTGTCTACTTGACTCCCTTCTACTTAACTTCTATTGTTTAGGCGAATATAGTCATAGTAGCGATGTAATAGGCCTCGAGTCTGTCTGTCCGTACGGTGTTTCGTTTTGATTATGTGTAGTCGTATATCGAGATTGTACAAGTACTCGATACGTTCACGTGCTAGCGAAGTTTGTATGTTGTCTAGGATCGTGAAGCGATAGTGTTGGTCGGCGTCTCACGGGATGAGCTGTGGATAATCGAATGCAAGGTCCCGCCCGCGACAAGTTCCGTCTTGCGGGAAACTAGCGTAGCAACAAGATCAAAGGTAGCAATCGTCTAGTACGGGCACTTCGTCCCTACACAATAGATTCTCAATGAGCCGGCAGCGCGACGGTACATTCGCTAGATGAAGGGCTTGTTGCGCTGAGCACTATACTTGTGCCGCTTTAGTGTCCTGTCTGCCCTAGCTCCTTGAGGGTTTGCTTGGTTACGAGCCGTAAGGTCTCTACAGTCAGCCCTGACGCGTTCTGATGCCAGGTTGAAAGAGTGCCCACCTGGTCGCAAACGTCTCAAATGACCCGATCGGCTACGTACGAGACGTAGAGCGTATCGGACGTGATATCGAATTTGATCAACTCGGCTCGGACAAGTGAAGGCATAGCGTGACTAGACGCATTGGACTCCGATCTGAAGCTGTCTCCGAGTACAAGTCGTGGAGAGGCGCTCGTTAACATCAGCAGCTTCGCGTCGCGCCTAAGGACGTCGTGTGAGTAGCAGGTCACATTGGTGCCGATTCCTCGCATCGCCAATACCATAGAGAGCGTCCGGCGCGTTGCATTTGAGAGATGGTAGGGCACTGATGATGTAACGGCGCTCGATTGATATGTAGCTGTGCATCATCAAGTACCATGAAGTTCCCACCACTACGCCGTACGTGCTTCGGCCCAACAACGCCTGCAACCATGAGCGCCGTTCATAACTATACACCACCACTTCGCGTAGAGTGCTCAATTCGCCTACGCCGCACCACTCCTCTGGTATACGCCCACCACCATGGCATGATCCCTCTCGAACGGCTCCAGGGTGAGCTGCTCCTTGGGCTTGATCCTCTCCTCCCGCAGCTTGACCACCTCCCTGGCAAAGACCTGTTCGGGTGGCGCGGTCGAATCGATACAATTTGCCTTGATCGACACCACTACACCACCACCAACTTTCAAGAATTGATGTGCATTGAGCCCAACAATGCGTGCTTGATCTGGCTGCGCGACATCAGCGAAGATGCAGTCGACCATGCTGACCAGCATGCGGTATTTGAGCGGGTGACGAGCGTCCTCGATGATAGGGATGACGTTCGTGCGGTGCGTGGCCATGTTGATAAGATCACGGCCGGAGCGGTGGGAGAATTCGACTGCGAAGACTGTGCCGGTCGGGCCAACGATATCCGCCACGTGTGAGACGGAGGTACCAGAGGCGGCGCCCAGATAGAGGACCTTGCTGCCGGGCTTCATGTGGATGTCTTCAAGACCACCCAAAATGCCGGCGGCCAGCTTGGAGCGGAAGGGATTCCACACGCGGTACTCGGTCTTCGTGGCGATGGGCGCATCGCCATTCGTGGCTGCGTCCCCAGTGATGGCAGCCGGGCTGTCAATTGATATGCGCTTCTCGCCGTAGACGGCTTCGCCGGGAGTGAGGTTCTTGGTGACGAGAAGGTCTTCCTTGCCGCGAGCAACGAAAACGCCAGGATGTCTGTGGGGTTCCTGGAAACATGCCGTTAGTACGGATGGGTAGGAGGCACTCCAGAATCGCCCAACGTACGATCACAACTCTTTGTCCGCCCTTTGCGCCGGCGCCTCCACGACCACCCCGCGCTCCTCCTCGCGGTGCACCTCTTCCGCGCGGTGCGCCTCTGCCGCCACGTGCACCACCGCGTCCGCCTCTGTCACCGAAGCCTCCTCGATCACCAAAGCCGCCTGTAGCACATTAGCGTATTGATCGTGTGCTCATGTCCGCGCAGGCCACTGCACACCTCTTGATCCGCCACGGCTCCCACCACGTCCGCCACGATCGCCAAACCCACCCCTCGAGCCGCCTCTGCCTCCACCACCCCTGTCGCCGCCTCGTCCTCTCGGTGTGAACGCCATATGGTGTGAGTTTGCTGGCCTTTCTGTATATGTGCGATGTCCGACTTGGAGCTCGGTCGAAATTTTGAGCTTCAGGCCAGGGCTTGCAGCGAGGTAGGGCTGTCCGGGTACAGCCGGGTCGGCCCACATGCCAAGACCTCGCCGGATTTCTGCGCACCTGGAGAAGTTCGACGTCGCAATTCCAGCGACGACAGTGACACTTCTGCATCAACACCGCCAACATGGTATGTACCGGATGGTCTCGCCCCACACCATGCACTCTGCCCTCAATGCCGCCGGCGACAAGTGGCCAGAACTAATCTCTGTCCTCCCCAGGTCCGTTACGCAGCCACGCACATCGAGCCCGCCAAATCCGCGCGCGCCCGCGGCTCCTACCTACGTGTCTCGTACAAGAACACACGCGAGACGGCGCAGGCCATCAATGGCCTGAAGCTCACCCGCGCCCTCACCTACCTCGAGAATGTCAAGAACCACGCCGAGGCGATCCCGATGAGGAGATATGCCGGGAGCACTGGCCGTACCGCTCAAGGTATGTGAAGCGCGCCGCAGTCTGCAGTCACATGCGCTGGGTGTAGCATTAGCCACGTGCGAGGATGCATAGACGGAGCACAAATATTGATGTGGGTGGTTGTGCACAGGGAAGCAGTTTGGCGTCAGCAAGGCCCGCTGGCCCGTCAAGTCGGCCGAGTTCCTACTCAGTCTG